GGCGCCAGGTTGAATGTCCAAGTGAGATGCGAAATGCATTTGCCAAGTGATGGAGCATGCCACAGAGAGAAGGGTTCTTTCCACATCCTACCCGTATCATAAGCACTAATTAGCAGAACAACCGAATTGGGTCACAGCGGCTACTAATTGCCATAAATATGAATAAAAGCCGCAAATGTTTTGCCATTTAATTAACATTTTGAACACGTTTTTCGTAGTGGAGCGGAGCAGGGCAACGTGTTATACAAATCAAAATTAGCATATTCACGGCGAGAAATTGCATAAAATGTCGAACCAAAAATAGACATACGCCCCGCGACACAGTCCACAATCCACATTCACGTTCACGTCCACGACGACGACGACGACGACGACAAGTTCAAGTTCAATGACATCGAACAACAATAGGGAAATACTCGTAGCAGCATGCATAATATGAGCTATGATTATGGCATCCACCAGCCACACCAGCAGCAGCCAAAGCACTTTAAGAAACAGATAGAGAGATACAGAGATAGGTGTCTTGATGGGAAATCTGTATTATTGTATTACTCAACCTCAACCTCAGCCAGCCCAGCCCAGCCAGCCGGCGTTTTGCTCTACTAAACAGCAGCAAAAGATATTCATTTGCATTTCCCCAAGCAAGCGACAGAGGCAGAGCAAGAGCGTGGGGGTGGATTGTAAGATTACTGTGTGCTGCGCGCTTCTCTTTTCGTTGCTTCGCCTCTCTTCACAGTGCTGCTCTTTGCGTCTCTTTTCGTTGCTGCTCTTCAAACAGAAATTACAGCAATCATTGAAAACCATTTCATTGTCAAGGTGAAAGGTGGAATGGGGCGCTGCACGGCACAGCACCACAGAGTCGAGGCGTTAATAGCCAAATTGTGTAATTGCAATTGTAATTCCATTTGGCTTTGGCCGAAAAAGAAACGGCGGAGGCTGCGGCTGCTGCCGCTGCTGCTGTGGTTTCAGCGCGCGCTCTCTTTTTCCCCTCTCTCTCTCTTTCTCTCTCTCTCTCTCTCTGTGGCCACACGTTACCGTTACACTTCAAATTGCCTGTGAGTTAACCGCAAGCGTATTTACTTAAATGAAATTAGCCCCCGACCTTGTCGCAGGAAGTTGAGAATTTAATGCTGATAAAAATCAAAAGAGCTGACTGCCTGCCTGCCTTTCTGTTCTCAGTGAATTTCCGCCTCCGATGCTGGTTCACACGCTGCTCCGCAGTTCTAACCATTTAATTGGAGAATCAAGTGCAACGGCAACGGCAACTGGCGGCCCTTTGGCGGTCTCTGGTCAATGGCCTCGCCCCCATACAGACACGGCACTCTCGCGTGGGCTAAATCAAAAACCAACTAAGTGGCTCGCCGGAACATTTAAGCCAAACAAATGTATCTTTTATGAGTGTCTCAAGCTCACGGTCAATTTATCATGCGCAGAGACTGGGACACAGGCGCGGCTTCGCACCAACTCGAACAACATCTGTAAAGCATTTTCTGACAAATTGATGAACGAGTGGGAAAAGGAAGGGAAAGCAAGGAAGGAAAGTTGTCGAGTTTGCCGCTTAGCATAAATGCTTATTTATGGCCAAGAACAACCCAGCATCGGCAGCCGATTGGGGTTGAAATCGCAGTTGGGAGTTGCAGGGGCCTAGCCCATCTAATTGTGTCACCGATGAAAGTTTTTCTCCGCCAATCCGTTTGGCCAGTCTCACGTTCGATGGGTGCCTGCTGCTTCGTGCGGGCCTGTAACCCGCAAGTTCGTGATCTCTAACTCTGCGTACTTGTTCTCTAAGTGGCTATGAAATTCCTTAGCCACGCAGCCAGCCAACACATCTTCAGCATCGCCAAGCTCATCATCCTCATTGCCATATCGGTCAATGGTCAGCGGCTTTGGCCAGTTCTGTTTGCCAAGCAAACAGCTTCAACTGGGAGTTCTACAGCAACTTTTACTCGTACTTCGACTCTGCGACTCCCCGACTGGGACTGGAGTGCAGACAACAATGTACGCCACGGATGGCTATGGCTATGGCTATGGCTATGGCTATTGGCCCCTAGTGTCAGTATGTTTGCATATATAAAATATTTACGATCGTTGGATGGGCAGCAGCTGGAGAGGATGGCGGTAGCCCACAATGGCTGTGGGCCTGTGGGCAGTGCTATCAACACACCTGATAAGCCAAATCCGCCTTGCCACTTGACATTGAACCTGGTCTACGTCTGGCTTTGGCTTTGGCTTTGGCTTTGGCTCGGGGTTCGTGTCTGGGTGCAAAAATGTTAATTATATGCGCGTGGCTAAGCTGATGACTGGACAACGTTAAATCTTGATTAACGCTGCCACAGCCGATGCTTCAGAGGCATCTTCTCTGGCTTTAGTCTCAGCCTCAGCCCAGGGCCTGATGCCTGATGCTGACGCTGATGACATCAGCCGAGCCATGCAATTAATATCAAACCATAATGATGTGTACCTCAGACACAGAGCCAGAGCCTGGCCAGAAAAGTTCTGCTGGCACGCACAAAACTTTGAAGCCATCGATAGCGCGGCCAGCCAGATAGTTGGCCTGGCCTGGCTAATACAAGATAATTAGGCACAGCGGCAAGTGAACATCGCTGACTTCCGCAAAAAATCTTTAACTTGGAATCCCAGTCCCAGTCCGAAGCTGGAGCTGGGTCTGAGGCCATAAAGCGGCGATTTATGTGCGCAATAAACAAACGTATTGAAGATCTGTTGGCTCGCTTGGTGGAGTACTAATGCTAATGCCTTTGTAATTGGTTATAAATTAAGAAATCACAAAAACTCGGCAATAAAATATATTTACGAAATGGGAAATGGCAGATGGGCAGATGGGCAGTTGGGCAGTTGGGAGCTAGTCAAGGTTCAGTGACCAACGATCGAAGTTGGTGTAGGTGTCAAAGAATCCACAGGCAATGGGAACGAGCACCTGTTCTGCTTGATTTGAGTTGTTCTGTTCTGTTCTGTTCTGTTCGTTGCTTTAATAAGCATGAGAAAAACGAGATACGAGATACGAGCTCACGTTTGAAATTGATTGATGAAAACGCCCCATGAAAAGCAGTCGGGCAACAGCCATAAGACGGAAGGCAACAGAAATAAAAGCATCTTCGATTCGTGGCTTATAAAATAATGATTATGCGATGCCTGAAACCGTGCCAACGCTCCACCGACCTTGAGCTTGAATTAAAACTTGAACTTGAGGCATCCTCTTGGCACTTAAGTTGCACAACTTGCCCGCAGGCCAGCGACTTACGGTTAACTGTTCGGCCAAGCTCTTGGCTGCCAAAATGTTTTCGATAGCTGCTCAAACAAATGGCAAATAAATAGAGGACTTGGAATTGATCGCTGGATCGCTGGATCGCTGGATCGCTCGCTGCTTTTGTTATGACGCAAATGCCACTTGTTGTGAAGTATCTAACTCTGCCCGCTGTTAATCATCTTTGGAGTCCAAGTCCGGCTGACATCAAGCGCTAGTACTATTGATTTATTGCTGTAGCATAACCAGAAACAGAGCCAGAAACAGAACCTGAACCTGAACCGCAGAAGGGGCACCTAAGCCACACTCGTGTAAGCCCAACTGTTGAGTCATGCATTAGCTGCCAGCTCATACATGTATTTATAATGGAACAATTCAATTACCAGAGCATGCTGAGAGAACTCAAGCCCAGCCGCGGCACAACAAGTTCATCAAACTCAAGTGGTGTCTGCACATTCAATCTTTCAGTGGGGACTGGGCTTTGGGTTTGGGTTTGGGTTTGGGTGTGCTGTCCATTAGGCCGCTTTTTGTTGCCTTGTTAGTGTAACAGATTTGTGACTGTGTGTAATAATCAATAAATAGGTGAGAAAAATGCCTGGCGGGGGTCCGGGCTCCATGGGCACCAGGTACCTCTCCCTCTCCCTCTCCCCCTCTCAGTCTTCGTCTTCCATTCACAAAAATTCTTTTCCATTTTATTTCCATTTCCATATGCAGCCACGGCACACAGAGCGTAGGTTTTTGGACATGTGTTAATGAAAATTCCAAGAATTCTGAATGCAAGCAGAGTGTCGAAGTGGTCCCAGCCGAATGTGGGTCAACGAGCCTGACTATTGTCGCCCATCGTTTTGACTAGGCCAAATCAGTCTGAGAGGCTGGACGACACGACACGTTGACGTTGCAGCTGGAGTTGGAGTCTCGCTTGTTGCCTGTTTATTGAATGCCCATTAAACAATGGGACTCTGGCTCTGGCTCTTACTTTGGGTTCTCTGGTTATGGCCCCCAGGCTGGATGGAGTACTGCATCTCGCATACATTTTGGTTTTGGCATTTGCCTGTCTTCTGCCGCTGACCGATATTCCCGAGGAGAGCTTGGGTCTTGCTCTTTTTGGGTTTATTTGCCTTTAAGTTCTGTTTAAACAAGTCGTTAAATTGAACACGCCTAGAGTCAGGCTGTGGAACCGTTAGGCATTGCCTTTTATTGCCTTGGTAAATGTGAAAGTTAACACATTGCGCTCCGGCTCCCCCTCCAGGCAGTTGCAGATGCAGACACAACAGATACATAGATGCAGATGCGTCGAGTTGGCTGATGATGGCACACACCATTAGCACTTGCTTTTAATTATACGAGAGTACGCAGAGCCCGCAGTTATCGGACACTGCCCTCCCGCCAGTCGGAACGCATGACAACAATTGAATTTGGGACAGCGACAGCAACAGAGCAGCCCCTCAGCATCGAAATGGAACTGCTGCTCTTAATTAAATGCAACAGACTTTTGGCCAGTGATGACCCCTGACCCAGGACAAGCGGCGGAAAGACTCGGCAGCTGGCAATTTGTCACAATGGCCTTTAATCAGACGAACTCGGGGGTCAGTTCGCAGCATTTATGGCAGAAATAATCAAAACAGACAAACAAAATAAAGAGCGTTGCAGATGTGTGGATTTGGCACAGGATTGTGGCACTTGCGAGCTACTTAGCTGCAGCTAAGCATAATTTATGTTGACATAATAAACCACTTACCGGCTCGTGTGGGTATCAGCATTATGGCCAGCAGGGCCAGCGTCAGAGACACCAGCGCCTCGAGTCCCAGCGGACTCGAACGTCTTCTTGTCATGGTTGTAACTGCAAATGGAGCAGAGTAGAGTTATTGTTAGTGCGTGATTGGCAAAGGAAGAGCCAGCGGGCTGACAGGGTGGAGAATCGTTTAACCCTTAAACAACAATCAAATCGAGCCACAATATGTTCCCTAAACGACAGCCCAGGCACTTCATTAAAAAAGCATGACAAGGCGCATGCCAACCCACCTCATGCCACCACCTCTACTCTCATCTCGTGTCGTCTCAATTTATTTCCTTTTCTTATTTTCTTTTATTTCCCTCTTTTTGTGTGTGCTGAAAATTTTCAATGGCTCTTCGGCTTACAAAAGCAATTTACGTGCACAAACAGCAGAAATGTTGGGTGGCGGTTGGCGGGACTGTTGACATGTGAACCGAATGCCACGAATGCCACCACCACCATGCCACCATGTCACCATGCAGCATTCACTACTTGCACCCCTCCTGTATGTCCTGCTCGGGATGTCCTGGCCAGCACTGTCCTGCCCTGCCCTGCCCTGCCCTGCCCTGACTGACTGGCTGTTTTTCTTCAATTGTTTGCGGAAATCACTTGTTTGCCGATTTGACAGATGTGCAATTTTCCCTGACATGCTGGCACTGCCGCCTCCCTAGCCCGCCCCCTTACAGCACTTCCTTCTGCTTGCCGGAAAGGTCAAAAATCGTTCGGTGCCCCGAAACTTTTCTGTGAAGTTGCTGATTGAAAATGTCAGCCGCACGCCACAGAAAACTTCTCGAAGTTGTCTCCCAACCCCACTGGCTGCTCCCTCCCCCAGGACTTGCTCAGTGATCCCATCGTTATAATTAGCGGGTGGCAACCGCCACATATCACAGCTTATCGGCTGACAACTAGCCAACTAAAGTGACTCCTGCCACAGTCCTGCTGCTGCTGCCATATATAACCTGGGCCTATGGGGGGGGCGGGAAGGGGACCCGTCGACACATACGTTTCATATTTTCATTTATTAGCCAGAGTTTGCTCTCGGCTCTTATTTGCTTTATGTTGCTTTAATCAAGTCCCAGGAGATGCAACACGTGAGTGTGCCCGAGCGATGCCAAATGGCTTTGATGGGGTGGCTTCAGACACCCAAGAGCGTGAGGGTGTCGTGGTGGTTCAGTGCGATATGGGGTTGGGGGTGCTGTTTTTTGTACATGTATTCCTGGGCGTGGTCGTTGGGTGGGGAATTATGCAATTTTATACCTTTCATAAAGCAATAAAAAGTTGCACGCCAAAGTACCATGGGACGCAAAGGGCGATAAAAGAATAAAATAGATCTCTGAATATGGAAACTGATCGATAGATTTTGTGTGTTTATAGAGCGAAAGTTAACAGCACTAGCGATAGTTCATCGCTCGATCGATCGATCTATGTTGCCCACTGTAGCATTTGGCATTCCATTTCGGTTACTCTTCTGGGGGGTCATATCGAGCTCTTTCTCGCTCTCTCTCTCCTTCGCCTCCCCTGCTGCTCCCCCTGTTCTAGTGAAATCTGAGTGGTTTCGGTTACGGCAATGCTCCCCCTCGGGCAGCTGCTTGGATTTACTCGCTAACGAAACAAGCAAATAAAAATCGGCTAATGTTGGGGCTGGGGCTGGGCTGGGGCTGCAGCTGCGGCTCGACGCTCATCATAAATGCGCGAATTGTGCTCATTAAAATGCAGGCAAACTGGGGGAGAGAGGGAATGAGAGAGAGATAGAGCGAAAGCCTCAACCTGCGCTGAGCCACGGGAGTCACAAAAATCAGTTGCTGCGTGCTGCTCGGGCAGCAAGAGTAACGAGTGAGGTATGCAACACACGAAGCCGCCTCTCGGTCAAGTTGAAAGATTGCTGCCCAGATGCTGGAGATGAGGCTGGAGTTGGGGCTGTGGCTGTGGCTGTGGCCGATGCCTCTGCTGCTACCATCTCATTCGAAGTCGCGGCATGTTGATGACGAGTTGACATGACGAGCGACAATAACAATAATGATAATCTCACAACAGCCAGCAACAAGAGCCAGCAACAAGATATACAATGAAGATGATGATGATGATGATGATGATGATAATGGTGATGAGGATGATGATGATGCTGTAAATGCCGCCTGCCTGCTTGCACTGACAACGGAAGCGACACAAACTGGCTATTAGTTGTTGGCCAAAATGGCACTTGTTCTAAAACTATTAGCAACACACGAACAGGCGAGCGGCGAGCAAGCAACACAGCAACAGCGCAACATGTTGCTGCCTAGCAACCTGGCAGCCTTGCAACTTGTTGCGGTAATTATATTCCACTGTACTCGCCGTGGCTAAATGGCCAGCAATTTTATTCTTTTCAGTCATAGCATAGCATTTTCAGTATTTGGGTTAAGACCAAATAAAGGGGTGGTCAGCCAGCCAGCCAGCCAGCCAGCCGGCTGCCATATGTCTTCTGATGCTCTCTGTGTGTGTGACACAAATTCAATTTGTGAATGAAAAGAAGCAGCCAAAAGTACACACAAACATCAGGCAGCAGCAGCAGCAGCAGGCAACTACTTTTACCCGTTGCAGTACGAGGAATACTCTCGCATTTGCCCAAAACGAGGCAGGCGCTTGTTACCAGTGTACCCAAAGAGGGGCGGACATACACACACACACAACCACACACATGCCAGCAGATATCGGTCATGGGAAATTTGCAAGATTTTCGGAAGAAACGACAAGGGCAAGGCCTAAGCCATGCATCTTCATCGTCTGCGATGTCTGCGATGTCAGACCCAGTGGAGACCTGGCCTGCTCTGACAATGGCATGGCCCACTGTTGATATGCGTTATGAAAAATGTATTCAGGTCCAGCAGGAGGAGGCAGCGGCTCATGCGTGAAGTGCAGCGGCAGTGGCAATATTTGCATAGCGTTGCCCCCTGCCCGCTGCCCACAAAGGGTAGGCACTGGACAGGCGAGCGGCTGAGAAATTGCACGGGCTGCCGCAGTCTCTGCCCCTGACCCAACTCTGGGGAATATCCATATCCACTGTGCATTGTGGGCATGCGTGGAGGCTGCTGCCTGCTGCTGGCTGCTGCAAGTTGCAAGTTCCCATTTCCCCAGTTGCACAAATTGTGGCCCAGCTGGCTCTAATATAAATGTATGGCCCGAGCGGTGGAAACAAACAGAGAGAAAAAAAAGAAGAATTTACATTTCACAAAGGCAGAGACGCAGACGACGACGACGACGACGACGACGACGACAGACGACGGCCTCAATGGAGGGTGGGAAAATATCACATGGGGCAACCCAGCATGGGCAGCATTTTGACAGTCGGGGCACGAGTCGGGGGCATGGCCAGTGGAGAGGGAGCCGAGGAGCAGACGCTTCGTTAGCATATCAAAAGGTGTCTCTTGTCAGAGAGCTATCTTGTGTCGGCTGTCGTGTTTGTGTCTGACTCTGGACTCTAGTTCTAGCTCTGACTGTGTGTCTGTTCCTTCGCTCTGCTCTGCCTGTTTGCCTTTTGCTTTTGAAATTTGTACCATGACCCACAAATATACTTTGGGGCACGCATCTAACGACGACCCAGCGACAAGATCGCAGTCAGAGATCGATAGCAATTTGCAATTTGCAGGCTGCAGCATCCAACTCTGCAGCTTTAATTGGATTTCTGGCTGGTATCAAATTGACATTTAGCACACAAGCGAAGAACCCCAGTGGTAGTCCCCGTCCCAGTGCCAGTTCCAATAGCAATCCCAGAACGATCTCCCCATCAGAGTGCTGCTGCCTGACCCCAACCTCACGCGTCCATCTGGGGATCTGCCTGTAGTCTCTCCTCTCCCTCCTGCAGCTTATCGTATTACACTTCTTCGATTGCACTGCCATTGCTGCCACTGCTGTTGCTTGGCGTTAATTTGGTTTTGTGTTCTGTTCTGGCTCTGCCATTTAACGGTCGTGGCAGCAGCAATTGCAAATTGCATTTCTTTTTTTTGTTCTTTTACTATTTTATGTTTATGGTATTCCTTTTGTCTGGCCAATTGCCTTGTTCTGCACGTCATCCCCATAAATCCGCGAACGAGCGAACGAACGAACAGCCGCGAGGCCCTCACACACATGTGCCCATCGCCCGATCGCCCGATCGCGGCAGATCGACCAATCAGCAATCGCCAATCGCCCGTTCGGCAATCGCCAATCGCCAATCGTTCGTCTATCGTTCGCATAGTTGTGGCCAATTGGTAGCCCAAATTGTTGCGGTACAGGAAGCCAATTTGCAGGCATACGGCCTCAGGAATGTGCGACCTTTGCCAGATACAATTTTAACAGCACGGAAAAGGTGTTAACTGCCGGTTTAAATTCTCAGCTTAGATTCTGCTGATTATCGGCACATTGTTTGAACTCTATTGCACGAGGGTCTAATGCAAATTTTCGGTTTTGAACTCACAATTGAGCGACCTTGTGGCATCATCAGGCAGCATCATCTCTGGCTGGCCACTTGAGCCACAAATTGGAGGAGTTTGCTTGAAATTAATAAAGCTCACGGTGCTGCTCACGATCTGCAAACATAACGGTGTCTAGTGGCAAATTTAGGTGGTGGCAGGGGGCAGGGAGCAGGGAGAGAGGAAGAGAGGCAGCAAACAAGCAAACAAACCCGCGCCAAATGTAAACTTCTGTTGGAGACCGACTGAGTCACTTGTCAGCGCAGCCATGCCACTGCCATGGAGCCAATGGAGCAACGGCATGCGGAAGCTGCCCAGCACGACTCGAGCTCCAGCTCTTCAGCAACGCCAACGCCAACGCCAAGCAACTCCCATCTCCAGCAGCGCTCTCCAAGTGCAACTCGACGGCAATTTGCCATTTTCGCTGTGTGTCGGCCAACCCAGAACCCAACTGCAACACTTGAACTGGATTAGTTGCCTGCCCGCTTTGATTTGTGACAAATCTTGATGATGCTGGCTACCGTGTGCTCGCCTGCAGCATGCAATCTGCTGGCCATATGTGGAAGTGGATGTGGCAGCAGCTTGTGGCTGACCCAACACCAGCAGAAGAGCTGCCGCAGATCGTGCGCTGATTTTGTT